CCCCCCCCCCCAGCCTGGGGCTCAGCCTGTCACAGACGGGCGGGGGGAGAACCCAGGCGTCCGGGCTCCCCGCCCCCCCCCAGATCAGCGGTTCTCACACAGGGGCCGGGGGGGCTCCGGGCCTGGCACCCGGGGCGAAGCCGAAGTCTGAGTAATGCAGCTTGGGGGGGCTCGGTCCCGGGGGGGGGCAGTGCCCGGGGGGGGCTGGGGACCTGCTGGGGCCCTTTGGCAGCCGAGTGGGCGGCGCTAGGACCCAGGGGAGGCTCCGCTCGGGGGGGGCGGGGCCTGGAGCAGGTCTGGGGATCCCAGAGACCGAGGCCGCTGCTGCAGCTCCCGGGTCCTGCGCTGGGGCAGAGGGTGAGCGAGGCCCGGGGGGGGCGGGGCGGGAGTGAGGGGCACCTTACTGGCAGGTTTGTGTTTTTCTGCCCCGGGTCGGTGCGTGTCCCTGGTGCGCTCGCTGGGGGCACGTGTGCGACGCCCTTGGCACGTGTGTTTGTGCCCCGGTGCGAGGGCGGCCGGGGGTGGGAGCACGAACCCCTCGGGGTGCAGCTCTCCTGTCCCCGCCCTTGTCCCAGGTGCCCAGCACCGCCCCCAGCCCAGGCAGCGTTTCCTGCCCCTTTGCCCCCGTGCCTGAGGCTGCGGGGGGGCCCATTGGCCCCTGTCCATCACCCCGGCCTGGGCGCAAAGGGGTCTGGAAGCCGCTTGCTGCCAATGACCCAGCCCCGTAAATCCCCTTTGAGCCCCGCTGGCCTCCTGTTCCGGCCGTTAATCCTTCTGGGCAGCAAGAGCCAACTCCGACCCCTGGGACCCACCACCCGGTTAGCCCAGCGCCGCCCCCCGGCTCGGGGCCGTGAACCTCCCAGGGCTGCACAGCACCGTCAGCCTGAGGTGGGCAGAGAGCAGAGCACATGCGTGTGCACCACGTGCGAGCACACGATGGCACCGCGTGCGAGCAGGCCACGTGCAAGCACACGACAGCACCATGTGAAAGCACATGCGTGTGCAGGTGCGTGTAGCGTTATCGAAGGGGCCCAGTTCTGGTCTCGCTCCCTGTGCGAAGCTGGGGGCTGCGTGCTGGGCCTCCAGCCGGTGCCTGGCGCAGGTTTGGCGCCCTGCCCGCAGCCCGGGGAGCGGAACTGCCTGTCCCAGCACCTTCCCTCTCCCCCCGGCAGGATGGCGTGTGAGCTCTTCCTCCTCTCCTCCCTCTGGTTCCTCTTCGTCATCTTCTGGATGGAGACCATCAGCCTCTGGCTCTTCCTGTGCAACTTCTACCAGGACCGAGCCTTCTACCACTGGGGGGAGCGGTGAGTCCCGGGGGGGTCCCCGCCTGGGCCAGGTGCCAGGGCAAGGCCCATGTGAGCACCCCCCAGCCAGGCCAGCTGCCCGTCACCTCCACAGGCAGAGTCGCCCATGGGCCTTGCATTCCCCCTGGCTACAGATCTCCCCCCCCCCCCCCCGGCCCCCGCGGGGGCCCCCCGGGCCCGCGCCCCCCCCCCCCGCCCCGCGCCCCCCCCCCCCCCCCCCGGGCCCCTGTTGGGCTGCCCAGGGCCCGGCTCAGCGGGACCCCTAGCTGGCAAACCACAGGAGTGGCACAAGAGGTTAATTCAGGGCAACATTGCCTGGCAGGTGGTCAGAGCAGGGGGCTGGGAGCCAGGACCCCTCGGTTCTCTCCCAGCTCCAACCCGGCCCTGCCCCAGTGCAGAGCTACGAGGGGTCCGGGTGGTCCTGGGCCCAGCGCCTCCCCCGGCTCTTTGCCCAGAGGGGGCCAGTTCCGCAGGCGCCCGAGGCCGCTCACTCTTTCTGGCTTCGCTGCTCCCCACTGACTCAGCATCTCCCTCGCCCCGCAGGCAGGGGCCCAGGCAGGGAGCGGAGCTGGCGAGGGGCCAGGGCAGGGAGTGGAACCGGCCTAAGGAACGGGAGCGGCCTGAGCTGCAGGCAGGGAATCCACAGTGGGAGAGAACCCAGGAGTCCTGGCTCCCAGCCCCTCTGCTCTAACCACTAGACCCCACTCCCCTCCCAGAGCTGGAGAGAACCCAGGTGTCCTGGCTCCCAGCCCCCCTGCTCTAACCACTAGACCCCCACTCCCCTCCCAGAGCTGGGAAGAGAACCCAGGTGTCCTGGCTCCCAGCCTGCCCCAAGCTCAGACCCCTCTGGCGTGTCACCCCCCATGGCAGCAGATAGCAGGGGGTGGCTATGGATCTCCCCCGGCTCAGCGGGTGGCTCATGCTGCCAGCGGGGCTGGAGCCGGTGACCAAGCCCCGTGGCGAGTGAGGCAGGGTTGGGCCTGGCACCAGGCAAGTTGGGTTGAGGAACCGTCTCCGCTGCCACCTCCCCCTGGGGCAGCTCGGTCTGTGTGAAGGGGGGGGCCCACCCCCCCAGGCAGGCCAGGAGGAAAGTAGAAAGGCCAGAAGAAAGGTTGGTGGGGCCCAGAGGCCAGGGGGATGGGCCCTGGCTGACACTGTTCCCGCCTGCAGGGTGTTCGTCTCTGACCCAGGCCACATGCTCTACGTCTTCGTCAGGTGAGCACCTGCTGGTTCCAGGCCCCGCCCGGCAGCCCAGGTACAGAACCGGCACCGAACCTCTGCTCTGTGAACTCTCAGGGTCCCTGGGGGGCCTGGCTGCTCACCCGGGAACAGCCCTGAGCCAGCAGGGGCCCCGGCCCAGCCCACCTTAGCAGGAGCCCCCAGCTGGGCCCGTTCCCCCCGCCTGGCCCTGCAGGCAGCAGAACAGGCCTGTGCCAAGCGCTAAGCCGAGGCCATAGGCGGAGCTGGGTGATTCTGGGGGGAGGCCTGGGGCTGTGTCCAGGGCCGCACAGATGAGGGGCCCCCCATATTGCCCACGGTCCGGCTAACAGCGGCAGGGCTGGGCCTGGGGCAGCGCGTGCAGGCTGGGCTCCGGCCGCAAGGGGCCGAACGTCTCTGACCTAGGCTTTATCTCCTAGCAGTGCTGGGCCTGGCCGGCCGCGGACCTGCTCCCAGCGCAGCGGCTGGGGAAGACGAGCACACGGCGGACACTCGGCCATGGCAGAGCCGCGAGATCAGAGGTGGGGGTCCCAGGGTAGGAGGCTCCTGCTGCCACCCCCATGAGCCACACGCCCCTGCCGGGCTCAGAACCCAGCGCAGGCTGCAGGAAGCCAGCCGGGCACTGTATTGAACCCTGGCCATTGAGGGACCTGTGGGAGCAGCTGGCAGAACACAGGGAGCCAGTCTCTCGCTGCCCGGCGGGCCAGGGCGTCGGGGGCCACAACTTGTGCCCAGCTGCTGGAGCGTGGGAGGGGCACGCGGCCGCTGTCCCCTACCCCACACTCTGAGGGACAGAGGCAGCGCTGGTGCTGCGGGCTCAGGGCAGGCAGCCTGGGCCGTGGCTGGGATCCAGAGCCAGGACGCCTGGGTTCTTCTCCCCTTTGTGGGGCCTCCAGTGATTCTGCCTCCTTCTGCCCCATGCGCTGGGGCTAATATGGAGCGAGCTGCTGGGGGAGGCACGAAGCCGTTAACCAGCCCCTTGGCGGGGGTGCCGGCCGCTGTGCTGGGTCCTGCACAGTTAGAGTAGCCTCAGGGCTGCTCTCAGTTCTGCTCTGCCTCCTCAGGGCAACAAGGAGCAGCGATCACGGGAGCAGAGCGCTCTGCCCAGGGCCCTGCTCCATGGGCACCGGAGACGCAAGGGACGGGTCCCCTCCACTGAGAGAGGAGCCCACGGGGGCTGAGGAGGGGACACGGCCGTGTGGTGCAGCCTGGACACCTCCACGACCCACAGGGTCCTGTGAAAATAAAGAGCTTCAGCACCAGCCTGTTTCCATTTCATACTGACTCTCCTCCCACCCCCCCGGGGGCGGGGGCAGCCCCACCCCCTGCTCTGCCTTGGACAGGCACTGGAGAGCCCCCCCAGAGCCCTGCAGCAGCCCCCAGCGTGTTTCACAGGCGTGTCAGGGACCCGCGTCAGGCGCAGCCTGGCTGAGCAATGGGCTGTGACCACTGGGCCCAGCTACCTCAATCCCTGGTTTCTTCCAGCGCCGCTCGGGGCAGCGAGATCTCCGGCTTCACCAAGAGGCCCCTGCCCACGAGCTGCAGCTAAAGGGGCCAGGGCCAAGGTTGGCTTAGCTCAGTGCTTGGCGCGGTTTGGCCTGGGCTAACCCAGCACGGTGCCAGCCCTGGGCTGCATCGCTGGTACCATCGCACTGCACGTGTCTCTTAGCAGCCGGCTCTGCCGTCCAGCCCAGCAGCTCGGGGGGCCAGTAGCCACACGGGGGGGAAGGCTGGCACTGCTCACGGAGCTGATCACCCAGCGCTGCATTTCGCTGCACACGGAGCGGTTGTGGGGGCCCCCCCCCCAGCCCCAGCATTGGCACTGCAGCCCAGCCTGGGCAGGGAGACAACGGGTGACGCTTGGCCCCAGCGATTCCAGATCCCCCAGCGCTACGGGGCTGGGAGGGCTGCTCCTGCCTGGGGGGTGGGGGTGGGCTCTCCTGTGCACTCAGAGTAGCCCCATTAAAGCGCTACAGCGTGTGCAGACCCGGCCGGAGCGACGTGCACAGGCCCCGGCTCGAGGCAGGCGCAGGAGCGGAACCGTTTCCTTTGTTCCTTTATTCAAAGAAATCTCAGTGTAAAAAACAAATTTAACAGCTAGCCTGGCCGAGTGCCCGGACTCTGCCCCTCGCACTCGGGCGAGCTCCACGTCCCACACTATAAAACGAGCCTGCCAGCGACACCCACACCCACGACCTGGGGCTCAGACACTAGACCAGGCCCTGCCCAGAGCCAGGCGCCAGGCGGCTGCTACGGGCCCAGGTGCTGGCTGGCGTCAGACACCGAGCGGAGGCAGAGCTGGAAGGGGGGAGTGAGCGCCCCCCAGTCCCAACTCTGGGGAGACCCAGCCAGACGGGTTCCTGGCGTGTTTCAATGAGGTTTATGCCATGGCAAGGCATTGGAGTGTGGGCTGCACACAGCTCCGGTTAGTACCGGCCACTGGAGCGGCCTGCAGGCCAGAACTGCCCTGCTCGACCACGGACCAGGAGCACCGCTCTGCAGGGACGGGGCAGCGTTGCTGGAATCCCCCGCATGGACTTGTCCTCGCCCCTATTCCGGCTGCCCTGAGGGCGGGTGACAGCCCCACACCCAGCCCATGGCTGCAGAGTTAACAGGGCCTGTGCCCCACACACTCCCAGCGGTGTGGGAGAACCAGGCGGGTGGGAACTCCGGCTGGCCCCCCTCAGCATCCCTGGGAGCCCGCGGGGCAGGGAGCTGGTCTCAAGCAAGCGGCTGCCTGTCTCTCAGTGCTACAGCCACAGCTGCTGGGCTGGGCCCGTGGGAGGACCCGGCTCAGACACTTGGTAGGAAGGGGGAAATATACCCCCAAGGAAGCAAGGGCCCAGGCAGTGCCGGACCCCTCCAGCCCAGGAGCTCCCTGTCCTAGGGCGTTACGCCAGGTTACAGGGCCAGGGTTTGGGTCACCCACCCCACCCACAGCCACAGTGCTGCCGCCCCAATCCCATGGTGCCAGGAAGTTACAGCTGGCATGGCACCATGTCCATGCCATGCTGGACAGGAGCTACCCTATAGGTGCCTCGGGGAGATGGGGTCCCCCAGGCAAATCAGCTGCTCAGAGGGCGGCAGTTGGGGGCTGGGCAGGCTGCTCAGAGAATTCCAGACCCCCTGCCTGGGGGGCACGCAGCTTCCCCCCCCCCGCTGTGCATTTATCCCTGCACTGCCGGCTCCAGACGCCGCCCATGCTGGGGACATCCTGCTACCGACTCCCTGAGCAGCCCCACAGGGCGGGACCCCCAGCAGCCGCTCCGCGCTCTAGGGAACGGGGCCCCGCAGGCAGGCACGGGCAGCATACAGCTGGCACGCGTGGAGCTGGCTATTTAAATCTCTCCCAACCAACCCCCCCCACCCCCCCGATTATAAAGGCTTGTTAAGCAGAGAAACGGCACCAGATGCCCCAAGGCCCCAGCGAGGCCCTGCTGGCTGCGGACGGGTGGGCAGGCGTCCGAGACCCCAGGCATCTGCCACTAGCAGGTTTCACACTAATTATTCTGGTAAAAAAAAGTTTAAAAAAATGGAAGCAAGCCCCCGAGAAAGAGGCCTGGGTGCAGCGAAGGCCCCGCCCGCGTGGCCAGGGCACAAACACGCAGCAGTTGCTGGCGCGGGGAGTTTATAACCCAGGGACATTCCCACACCCCCAGCTCCAGTCACTCTCTGCTAGGTACACACGGCCGAGGCCCGGGTCCCGGCCGGAGCCCAGCGGAGCAGGGGCAGCCCCCGGGCCGGCTGCCCGGCCTCACAGCGTGTAGGCGTTGCTCATCAGGTACTCCTTGTCGTCCAGGGGGCTCCAGGGCACACTCAGAGACAGCTCCTGGTTCCTCCTGCACAGCCAGACGAAGAAGACGACCACGGAGCCCAGCAGGACGGCGACGAGGATGGCCAGCAGCACGGCCAGGGCCACCACTGCGGGGAGAAGAGGGCCAGGTGAGCCGCAGGGTTCGGAGCCTGCGGTGAGTCCCCACCAGGCCCTGCCGAGCAGGCAGGGCCGGGAACACGTGGCAGCTGCTGCGTGCAGACTCCTGCCCTGCGTCCGCGGCCTCAGACCCCTCCCGGCACAGCCTGAGCAGAGCAGCAGGGGCTCGGCCCAGCCAAGGCGTGGGGAGACCCCCAGCTGGAGCCAGGGCACAGCTCTGCCCATGTCCCCACCCCCAGGCCCAGGGGGAGCCCAACCCGGCCACAGCCAGCTGGCCAAGGGGATCCCACCCAGACCACGTGGCAGAGGGTTCGAGCGCCGCTTACCTCTGCTGGAGTGAACGCCCGGCTCGGGCCCCTCAGCACCCCCTGCGAGAGGGAAAAGTGAGTTGAGATGGGCTGCGCCCTAGACAGCCCCTTCCCTGCCTGGCCCCCCACCGGCCGCAGCCTTTGAGCGTCTTCCAACTCCCAGGGTCAGCGGCAAGCCGAGGGCCCGGCCCAGCACCCCACATGAACAGCAACCCCCAGGGCCATGCCGGCCAATCCAGAGCTCCGCCCCCCCCCCCCCCCCCCCCCCCCCCGGGGGGCACCAAGCGGCTCCCTCACCTGCGGCCCCGCTGCACTGGCGCAGACACTGCTCCTCCCGCAGGTAGTTGTTCTTGTTCCCCTTGCAGCCCCCGTAGATGAACTGCCTGCAGGCCCGGGCGGCCGGGTCGTAGTACCAGCGCGGGAAGGCAGCGCGGCAGGGGCCAGTCAGGCGGGGCGCAGCACAGGACTCTGGGGGCGAGAGGTCAGTGCATTAACGCAGGGCCTTGGCTCCCCACTCCCTGCCCCACAGCGAGAGGGCACTGCCCCACAGCACCAGGGCAGCCTTACAAGGAGGTGCCCTCCCGCGCCAGGAGCACCTCCCTGGTCAGTCGGCTCAGTCTGTCCCTTGCGGTTTGGTGGGGCAGGGATAGAGGTCACCAGGGACGTCCTGTGCTCCTAGCCCTGTAGCACGCGGTGTCTGGGCGTTAGGAGGTGCAGTCCCGGGACCTGGAGGCCCA